TGGAGGGGGGTGGGTGCTTCTGACTTTTCTGCAAACATTAATTGTTGGAGGCTTTGGGGACCAATATCTTGGAAATAGACCAGATCTTTGGGCTGGAACTTGCCACTCAGGGTAATTGGACTCCAGGCTTTCAGAATCTGCCTTCATAATTCATAATATTTCAGTATTATTGGCTCCTCTATCATGACTCTTGTCATGAGCAGAAATAAAAATTCCATTCTCAAGGACCCCCTGTCAGTCCAGGATGTCTTGCAGAAGGTTAATGACGCTGGATTCCTTTTATTTTGGGACAGTTCTGTCTGCAATAAGAATATTTAAGCTATTTAAGAGCCTCTGAAAAGGCTCCCTGCTGAAAAAAATGACTTTTTGCCAATTTTTGGTTGGAAAGATTTCCATGTGAGCAGTCACCCATGGTTAATAATTTTCACTACACTATTGTATACATCTTGCCTGTATTTGTTCAAAATTTCTACTTGTTTTCTCATCTCCATCACTGTTAAATGATTTTGTCAAAAGAAGGCCTTATTTTTTTTTTTTTGCAAAACACCCCTAGTTCATTTGTTAGTTAGCGCGGTTGCGAAAACTATCACCTCAGTTTACACCAAAAATTGTGAAAAAGTTGGGCACTGACCCAGAATAGATCCCATTAAATTTTGGAATGAATTGGGTCAAAGTCAAGGTCAAAGTGACAGAAAAGTTCAAAATCGTTTCTTGGCCATAACTCTGTCAAATATGGTCCGTTTTACTTCAAACTACCGCCAAATTTTCCATTTCAAATTAGTAAAATATAATTGCTATAGAGAAAAATGCAAAATGCATAGTTTCAAAGATCAATAGGCATCAAAGTTCAGGGGGGTCCAGGTCATTGATCAGAAACACAGATTTTCCAATATATCTCATAGACCACTGCAGATAGGCATTTGGTTACTATTGATCACATCTAGGAAGTCATATATGAAGATTAAAATGACACCATAATCTTTAACCTTGAGTGACCTTGAAAGATCTAACCCAAAATCACATAATACAGTGTATAAATTTAATGAACAGCTAAAATATTTGCGGGCTTCAGGATTTGCCATGCCTGGCACTGATTTTTTTTAATTTTTTTAGTTGTACTTTACTAGGTATTTTATATGGAAGTGGGAGTTGCATGATTAACATATTTAATTTGTGTAGTTTGCCTAAAGGTGTGTTTCACCTTAAAGTTTATGTATTTTGTACATATGATTTTGCAAATAAAGATTAATTCTGTTTTTTTTTTTATAGTTACTCAAATACTAGTGAAGCTTATTCTTTGTAAGGGGTTCAGAACTGTTGGATTCTATGATGCTGTCGTGCTGTATGGATAGTTCCATGTTCTAACCAATAGATGGTGCCATCCGTCTTGAATCCACAATGTTACCTTTTATCCTCCGTGTGTATTATTCTGGTACACAGCAGCATAGTGTTAGCAACAACGCTGAGCACCTATCTGTATTGTGGATTTTCGTTCAAGCTATGCTGGGGTTTCTCCAGAGTTCTTGCTCTTTTTTAAGTCTCATGGATATTAAAGTGAGATATTATTACACTCATTTTGATTGTTCTTATCACCCAAAGTAACTCACAGCTGACAAGACAATACCCCAGCAAGACATGTGCGATTAAGGGCCTAAATGTTACACAGAGCGCAGTGTTGCTTCACTGAGACCTGATCCAGCAACCCTCTGAGTCTGTTGCCCAGGACTGTTGCCTGAATTCCATTGGCCACCCAAATATTTCACCCAAAACACTCAACTAAATTAAACTGAACAGCTGTGCCATGGTTCAGAGTAAGACCACTACTCTGCGGGATACTAGCAGACCAGTCAAGAATTTCTTCTGTTACCCATAGCATGCAACCTTTCAACACCAAAAAAAAAAAAAAAATCTTTTCATCTCTGCGCTTTACAATCATGTGCGTATTTCTACAGTACTGTATTGTGATAGCTGAAAACTGTTGTAATTTTAAAAAAAAATGCGCATATTTAAGTCCTGCAAAAGCTTAGTCAAAATATTTTCAGTGCCGCTGATTTCTGTAAGTGTGGGCCAGACAGTGATGCAATGCTTATGGGGACCCTGCATCCCATAAACCTGGGAAGGATGAATATGCTCCCTGGCTAGCAAACAGAGGAACTGTTGTCAGTTCAGGAACAACTAGAAATTGGCACTGCACTGCTATTGGACATCTGATGCAAACCAGTCAAGAAGATGATTGGCTGTAAAACGGCCATTTGGTGGATTATCTAACTGCTGGTGGACCACAGTGGAGTGCGTGGTGATATGCAAGTTCTTGGCTCACTAGAATGGGAGGTATTGAGTTCAGTCATCAACCAGAATCTGAGTCCTGATTTTTTTTTTTAGATTATGATGCCCCGTTATCAGAGGCTGGCGATTACACCCCAAAATATCATCTCCTGAGGGATTTGTTCAGCCGTTATCACAGTAAGTCCTACATCCTTGCCAATGGCACTTTTGCTTATTTTTGCGTGTTAACATTGAATACAATAGTTTTTTTTATTTGCTGAGTAAACACAGAAAGTTAAGAGAAGCTGTTTAATTAAAATACCCATAAAAGCCCTTTACTTCAGTCCATGTTCCGAATTGGGAGGGCACCTGGTTTCACTGAGTGCGGTTTTCTAGCTAAGCCAGTAATCTTGCTGTGTGAAGTGGGGCCCAGGTTGTGGGGGAAATCTTAGATTGGCTGATTTTCTAGACAGTGAGAATCACTGGATCACAACTGCGGTAAATCACTCGTTGTACATCCCTGTTCGTCTCAGGTGAGAAACTACCAGAAATGCCCCCCCTTCGATGGAAGGAAGATTATGAGGTGGCCATCATGTTCCTACATCTCTCTCTGTGGGATGCCCTGCAGTTCACAGATGGGGTGAGAGAAGACCACTACGCTAGATATCACTGATAAGCTAAGTTATTTCTGTGTCGTTCTTCAAATAAGCGTAAGATTTTAAAATAACCATAGCTGAAAAAAACTATAAATGCCAGTCTATGCTTATAGCATATAGTGTGATATGTACATTGCAACATGCAGCTTTTCCACTCTGGAAAGGAATACTGACAAAATAGCCATAAAAAAATGTCACCTTGGAACAGTCCATTCAGTCGATCCCATAGGAAACAGATCTGTCTCACTTTGTGCTCTCGAAAATGATGAGGAAATGTTATTTGGCGTGCTTAGGGTAAATTAAATTTAAAGTGTCAAAAAATTCCCATTTTATTTTTTTACACACAGTCTTGCCTTCTCTACAGTGACAGTGCAGAGTGACAACACCATTATCACTCAGAATCTATATACCCACTGTTATCCCTTAGCAAATTAAAGTCACCCGACACTGATGTGACAGTCTTCAGCCTGGTTAAGATCAAACAGGCATGAGCCTACCAAACAAGTTCAGAGAATTATCCTTCAAATTTTATTGAGGAGAAAAAAATTATACAGTACGATGAAGTACAGTAGATCATTGCCATCCAGTTCCAGGTGGCGTAGTGGGTACAGTGGGTGGCACTATTGCCTCACAGCATGATACTCATGGGTGACCTTTCTGTGTGAGGTTTATCTGTTCTTTCTGTGTTCTTATGAGTTTCCTCGCACTGTCCTAAGATAGTAACTTATACATGTAGATCCATCCATCCATCCATTTTCTTATGCTAATCTGGGGCCGGGTCACGGGGTTACCAGGCTAAGCATAGTGGCCCAGGTCTCCACACCCCCCCACCCCCCCAGCTACCTCCTCCAACTCTACCGGGGGGACCCCAAGCCGTTCCCAAGCCAGCCAGGAGATATAATCCCTCCAGCGTGTCCTGGGTCTGCCTCAGGGCCTCCTCCCAGATGGACATGCCTGGAGAGCCTCTAAAGGAAGGCGTCCAGGAGGCATCCGGACTAGATGCCCGAACCACCTCAACTGACTCCTCTAGATACGGAGGAGCAGCGGTTCTACTCTGAGCCTCTTCCGGATGTCCAAGCTCCTCACCTTATCCCTAAGGGTCAGCCCAGACACCCTGCGAGGAAAGCTCATTTCGGCCACTTGTATTTGCGATCTTGTTCTTTCGGTCACATGTAGATTGCAGACTCTAAATTGTACTTTGGAGTGGTGTGTGAGTTAATGGTTTGTGATTCCCCCTGTTTTTTTATTTGCTGTGTTGGTATGGGCAGTGTAGACTTTACACGGAAAAATTCAGAAATTTCATGGCAACTGGGAATTCTCACTATCTCTGCCTGCTTTTTGTTTACTCCCTTATGCGCTTTCCCATAAATACTGAACCCTTTTCGACTCAGTCACATTACCATTTTTGGTTCTTTGTGTAAAGCAGTGGTGTCCAATAATGTCCCACAAATGGTCAAGAGATTATAATCATTACACCTGCTGATTTTATGAATGAACACACCTTAACACCAGAGAAAGGAAGGAATATCTTTCATCCAGGTACCAACAACTAATACCTCAGGTCAACTGCCGTCCCTTAGAGCAGCGAGGGTCAATTACAGGTTGAAGAAGGTTGAAGTTGGATTAAAATTTCTCCCTGTAGCCTTTCAAAAGCGTGAGACCAGTCAGTATGGAGAGCCTTCCTGTGAACAACGGCAATGGCCAGTCCTATGGATACACTTTGTACGAGACCACTATCACCAGCAGTGGCTTACTGCAGGCGGGAAATAATGTGCATGACAGAGCCCTGGTAAGTGAGAAAAAAAAAATACCCAAAAGCATAACAGGAAGCTCCAGCAATTTAAGAAAAAGCTAATTCATTCCATGTGTTTTGATTGTTTATTAATTACGTGGAAACTGAGCCCATTCTCACTCCTAAGGCATACTATATTGAAGTTTGGGCAAACGCCCGAGATGTTACTTAGCAACAAAAAATGAGTCCTTTTGCATCACTTTTGGATGTCATGGGTATCCCCGTTGACTTCACTACAAAGCCAACAACATCAGTGTTTGATGACAATGGGAAACTTGATAAGAAAATGTACTGGCCTGGACTCAAACCAGAGATCTCCTATTTGAAAAGTAGCAGCACTAACCAGTGCACCAGCAACCATCTTGAATGGATCAACAACAACAACAAAAAACCTTACCCCCGTACTAACCCTGGATCAATGTCATAAATTAATGAAATTACGGTTCCCTTTACCAAATCCCAATCTCAGATCAAAGTAATCAGTTAATGAAATTTTAATTCCCTATTCCCAATCCCAATCATCTCTGATCAATTTGACAAATTGAGTACAACCCAAATTCCAAAAAAGTTGGGATGCTGTGTAAAATGTAAATAAAAACAGAATGCAATAATTTGCAAATCTCATAAACTGACATTTTATTTACAATAGAACATAGACAACATATCAGATGGTAAAAGTGAGACATTTTACCATTTCATTTAAAATATTAGCTCATTTTGAATTTGGTGACAGCAACACATCTCCAAAAAGTTGGGATAGGGCCATGATTACCATTGTTTAGTATCCCCTCTTCCTTTAACAACAGTCTGTAAACTTCTGGGAAGTAAGGAAACACAATTGCTGAAGTTTTGGGAGAGCAATGTTGTCCCACTCTTGTCAGATGTAGGATTCTAGCTGCTCAACGGTCCTGGGTCTTCTTTGCCAGATTTTTCATTTTATGATGCGCCAAATGTTTTCTATTAGTGAATGGTCTGGACTGCAGATAGGACAGTTCAGCGCTCAGAGTCTTCTACTGCAAAGTCATGTTGTTGTGATGGATAAAGTATGTAGTTTGACATTGTTTTGCTGAAATATGCAAGGCCCTCCCTGAAAGAGACATTGTCTGAATGGGAGCAAATGTTGTTGTAAAACCTTAATATACTTTTCAGCATTGATAATGCCTTTGCAGATGTGTGAGCTCCCCACACCATAGGCACTAATACAACCCAATTCCATCAGCGATGCAGGCAATTGAACTGTGCGCTGATAACAAGCTCTTTAGACGAAAATAACTCCAAAAAGAATTTCAAATTTTGATTCATCTGACCACAGGACAGTTTTCCATTCTGCCTCAGTCCATTTTAATGAACTTTGGCCCAGAGAAGATGGCCGCGTTTCTGGATTGTGTTCACGTATGGCTTCTTCTTCGCATGATACAGCTTTAGCTTGCATTTTTAGATTGCACAGCAAACTGTGTTCACAGACAGTGATTTCTGGAGGTGGGCCTGAGCCCATGCAGTGTATTCCAGTACATAATCATTCCTGTTTTTAATGCAGTGCAGCCTGAGGGCCCGAAGATCACAAGGATCCAATATTGACCTTCGGACTTGTCCCTTGCGCTCAGAGATTTCTCCAGATTCTATGAATCTTTTGATGGTATTATGTAGTGTAGATTCAAAGTCTTTGCAATCTTACATTGAGGAAAATTTTTCTGAAATTGTGCCACAATTTTTAGACACAGCTTTTTGCGGTTTGGTGAGTCTCTGTCCATCTTTACTTCTGAGAGACTCTGCCTCTCTAAAATGCTCTGTTTATGCCAGTCATGTTACTGACCTGTTGCCAATTAACCTAATTAGTTGCAAAATGCTCCTCCAGCCATTTGTTATTTGTACCACTTACTTTTCCAGCCTTTTGTTGCCCCTCTTCCAACTTTTTTGAGATGTGTTGCTGTCATCAAATTCAAAATGAGTTAATATTTTCAATGAAATGGTAAAATGTGTCACTTTCAACATCTGATATTTTGTCTATGTTCTATTGTGAATAAAATGTGGGTTTATGAGATTTGCAAATCATTTCATTGTTTTTATTTACAATTTACACAGCATCCCAACTTTTTTTGGAATTGGGGTTGTAAATTACTTTCAGCAATGGTGTCTCTAACGATGCCAAAGGACTCCCTTTGTGCCATATATCAACTTTTGGACAAGTGTCACTAGAGTGTCACTCTATGATGAGTCAGGATGAGAATGTGTTGATATACTATGACCATCTGTAGACTTTTTTTTTGTTTTTGTCTTTTTTTTATGTTTTGTTTTTTCCGAAATTACTGGCACCCCTGACTGGCAAAAACAATTCTTTAAAAATTTTTAAAACATATATATTTATTGAGAATCTCTAAACCAGGTATTAAATTCCACTTACTTAAATATCATCTAAGAGTTAAGGAGCTATATTGAGCCATTACAATTCTTCCTGTTTCCCTAGTGTGTAAAAACGAGGTTGCACACATGCAATATCCTCTGTCATCCAGCACCATGAAAAAAACAAAACAACTGTCAGTTCCAAAGAGGCAGATGGTCATAGACCTTTATAAATTTGGCAATGGCTACAAGAAGATTTACAAACAATTGAACATGCCACTGAGCACTGTCAGGGCAATTATTTTAAAAATTCCGAAAAAATTGAATTTTTGAAAACCTTGAGGGAAGCAGACGTAACTGCATTTTGCCTTCCCAAGGCACTGAGGAGGGTGGTGAGAGAAGCAACAATATCCCCAAGAATCACTGTGAAGGAATTACAGGCCTTGGTGGCATCTTGGGGTCACCGGGTTTCAAAAAGCACCATCAGGTGCCACCTCCACAATCACAGGCTCTCTGGAAGGGTTGCCAGACGAAAACCTTTTCTGACCCGAAGACACAGAAGCAAGTGCTTGGAGTTTGCCAAACGTCATTTAAATTGTGACTGGAATAAGGTTTCAGTCAGATACAGCATCGGCATGTTTGGCGTTGAAACAGAGATGCATATGCATCGAGAAGCGCTTCATACCCACGGTGAAATATGATGTTGGGTCAGTCATGTTTTGGGGCTGTTTTAATTCAAAAGGTCAAGGGGCGCTGGTTAATATTAATGGCATAATGAATTCCACCAAGTATCAGGATATTTTGGCTGACAATCTGCTTGCCTCCACCAGAAGGCTGGGACTTGGCCGTAGGTGGACTTCCCGAAAAGGCATGAAGCCAAAGCATACCGCAAGATCCAAACAGACATGGTTCTGTGACAACAAAATCAATGTCCTGCAATGGCCACTTCAGTCGCCAGACCTCAATCCAGCTGAAAACCTGTGGACTGAATTGAAGAGGGGCAGTTGATAAATGCAAACTCAAGAATGTGAAGGATCTGCTTAGAGGAATGATCCAAAATCCCCCCCCCCCCAAAACTTTGTTTAAATTTGAGCCTGTCCTCCAACAAAATACACCCGGAAAGGTCATTTGTCAAGCAGCTTATTACGACCTAAAGTTACGTTTAGGAGTTAAATGTAATTTAGGAGTTAAACGGTCATTTAAATAACTACAATCTGGTTTCCATCGTCAGCGTCGCCATCAGTAAACCCCTAACCTAAACCTAATCCTAACCCTAATCCTAACCCCAACCCTAATCCTTACCCAAACTGTTATTTTAAGTGTAAATATGACTGAAACTGTATCTGGAACTGAAACTGTAACTCTAACAGTTCCTTCCTGCTGCCAGTAGGGGCGCAATTTTAGGAAACGCTCCCATGGGTCGTAAATCAGAGAAAACAAGAATAATCGACCTACTTGAGCGTATGGTTGGAGGACAGGTTGCAAAATTTGCAGGAGAAAGCTCCATGCTGTTATCCTTGCCAGGGGTGGTTGCACTTAGTGCTAAATGAAGGGTGCCAATCGTTATGAAACCTTTATTTGTTGAAATTTATTTTGTATGAAATGATTGTTATGATTTGGGGTGTTTCCATCAAAACATTAATAAAGTATTTCACACATGTTGGTATTTTCCATTTTTCTAAATTTATATTATTTATATTTATTGTTTGTGCATTGCCAGTCAGGGGTGCCAGTAATTTTGGAGCCCACTGTGTGTACACACACACACACACACACGCACACACAGTGCTGTGCAAAAGTCTGAGCCACCCTAGATTTTTTTTAATTTAAATTTGATGCTGGGTGTTGTTCACAGTTCACAGCACTATTTATTTCATTTTTCAATATTTAGAAATCTTTAATGATTTTAGGAGGTGTCTTTGCCTCACAGAAGTGTATTAAATGTGCCTAAAACTTTTAAACAGTACTGTATATATGTACTTTTCTTTACAATGTAGGTGTTTGTCGACAGACAGTTCATTGGCATTTTCAAGTACAAGACCCTGGAACTTGCAGTGCCTGATGGGAAGGTGGGGTGTTTTTCGGTGGCTGGATGCAAAGTAATGCAGACAGTATTACTGATTGAGCAGGATAACTTTGCTGAGTAAAACTCTGAACAACTGTTTTGCTTCTGTCTTCGTTCCAGAATTCAAGGTTTTACTTAATACAGCGTCCCACATAACTGGGTAATCCTGTTTCATGAGTCAGGGCCCAAGAAAGCTCATTTATTGAGTCTGTAAGCATTTTAAGTTCTATCAGGCTTGAAAGTAAAAGTTTGACTGACCAAGCCAAGTGAATGCATAGAACTCTCAATATTTTGCCAAACCAAGGAAGCTTGCATTACTGAAAAGCCAAACAAGTTGGGAGATTCTTGCCACTTTCTATCAGCTTAAATGCTACACTGTGTGTGCCTCATCATAAATGAAGACCACAATTGAAAAATGATCAGAGTCACATTTTCACGTTGTGGAGAAATGATGAATTAAAAATTCTAAATGATCTTAGAAACAAATCACTGAAAAAATATGCAAAAAATATTAAATATTATAATAATATATAATATTATTATACAGTGGGGGAAATAAGTATTGAACGCGAAAACATTTTTCTTAGTAAACATTTTTAATGGGGCCATTGACATGAAGTTTTCACCAGATGTCGCGAACAACCCAAGTAAGTCACACATACAAAGAAAACGAAACAAATAAGCCCATAAATTAAGTTATGTGTCATAAAGTGGAATGACACAGGGAAAAAGTTTTGAACACACTTACTGAAATTTATTTAATACTTAGTAGAAAAGCCTTTGTTAGTAATGACAGCCTCAAGACTGTCTGGAGAAACTGGTCGCTTGCATTGCTCAGGTGTGATATTGGCCCATTCTTTCACACAAACTGCCTTAAAATCTTGAGAGTTCTCGAGGCCTCTTCTATGAGCTCTGATTTTCACTTCTTTCCAAAGATTATCAATTGGATTCA